CAACCATTGCAACCATTCCAGCAAACACAACTCCAACCACCTTTCGGTCAATCAGTGGATTCGCTCTGCCATCCGGGATTCACAACAACGAACGTCTCCTATAGGCTTCCTATTCTGAAACTTCCGCCACCGCCTTGTGCGGTACTACTGGTATACCAAACCGGCCCCTCTTTTTTTTCTAAAAAGGCAATATTATCCAAAGCTGCATCAACAACGTACTGTGAGATTCACACTAACATTGAGTATTCTCTGGTGGTTTGACAGCTTGCTATGGAAAATCAGCATTTTTTCTTATAGGTATGCAATACTGCAGGTAAATCATCCATAAACGGACCAGTTTCATCCGTTTTCCATAGTTATATGTGAAATTATCCTCAGGGTATCATCATCCATTTTGATAGGATTCAATTTCCCATGAAATAAACCATCCAGCTATTGGGGTACCCCCCAGCCATTAGGAAACCAGCATATGAAGAAACCATGTTTGGTAAATCAGCGACAATCCATGGCACGCGCAGCATGACCATTAAATGTGTGATTAATAATGTATGGTTAACAATTATTAATATCCATCATTATCCATCATTTAATCATTAACCCTTAGTATCCCCTAGTTGCCGATAGGACGCCTTTTTGCCTCAGAGATCACAAGTCGCTTGCTGAAACTCCGCTGGCCCCAGTTGGATGTGACCGTTGCCTGGCGAGTTCAGGAATGTTTAATGGGTATAAGGGTATAGCTAGGGGGTGATAATGGTTTATCATGGTTATTGATGCCTAATAAGTGTTAGAACTATGGTTTTTAATGGGTACTATGGGATTGTAAGCTCTTATTAGTGGAACTGCACCCCCAAGTAAGGTGGCTTGAGGCGAACCAAGTTCAACTAGAAACTTCTGGGTGGTTTCGGATGGGAAAATGGCTGATTCTGACATACCAAGAATCCAAACTTCAACTGCGTGATGCTTGTACTGGGTGATTTTGGAGGTATCCATGAAAACAAATGGTTTCCCAAAATCGTGATAATAAGGCAAACCCAATAGTCAACCCACGTCTTGGTGGTTCTTGAATATCCCCCTGGCTTCAAGTTGGGCCCCAGGTCTTGCAGATGGAGCAGGTTCACACCATCAGCCTCGAGACGGGCCTAGAGATTCAGGTCTATTTGATTGATGCTAATCACGTGCCCGGATCGGTGATGTTCCTCTTTTCCGGAAGCTCGGAGCGTGAAGCATTTGTGGAGCGTTTTTGACTGTCGAAGGGGTGGGGAAGCTCACAGTTTGACACTCAACTATGAGGATATATCCCCATGTTATGTTCTTAGAACACCTTCTTTTGCTAGTTAAAGTCCTCAGTTTGTCCCCATTTTGTAAGTTGGTATTGAAGTTGCCATGTTTCTATTGCACACATGTGACACAAGCATACGAAAAAGTACTGGATCGGTTTGCAGTAGCTGCTTTTATAGATCTTATCCATGGGCTTTCCTACCAAAAAACGCCTCCAGCGGAGTCCCTCCGAAACTCCCCCGCTGCAGCAAGGATATTTCGGCAGCGTGTTGTACACTGGCGACTTTCGGTTGCATTCGCAGCACGCTGAGATCTGCACCCTTCAGATGTTGAGAGACAAAGAGCTCTCCAGGAGTGGTGTTCCTGGTGGATGGGCTGTTCCGTAGCTTCCCCCAGAGTTGGGACTGGAACCCCAGAAAAGAATAGTAGACAACTTAAAAAAGGAGATTTGGAGTTTTGGAGTGTAGAATATATGTTTGGGGGGCACAACTTTTGATTTAGACTTTCAAGTTGTATAGTATGTCTAGTTTACTCAGGGAGGATTCGGAGATAGGTGGTGGAGACAATACATTAGTTTACGATGTTCTGTTGTTTGGGATACAATCCGGAATACAGGTATCGTATCTACTGTAATTATCTAGACGCAAAAAAAATCCTTGTGCCGCCAGTGGCCTATGGGCCCATGGACAATGACAGTGCAATGATAAATGGGGGTTTCCTGAAATAGGGGTACCCCCAAAGCATCCATTTTAATGGTATGTTCCATTATACCATCCATGTGGGGGTACCCCATTTATGGAAACCCCCAAATAACGATTACAACCCAATCTATAAGGTCCCTCTGCATAGGACATCCATATTATGGAGGCATTGTCTTTTGTATGCAAAAGCAGGGTCACTACTTGGTGGTTCACCGCAGGACTGATGTTGGTGGTTAGTTCATCTCAGCACTGGACCTACAATTCCTGGGGTGCACCATGGAGTCTTAACTGGGTATATTTGGGTATATATTGAATCAGGATTTGAATTCACCATCGCGTATGGGGCTTAGGCATCAGAAACGCATGGTAAGAACAATCCTACTCACTCTACTTACTGTACTTCTAACTGACTGGGGTCATTTTTTTATGGGGCGAACAAACCCACTGACATCCAATTCCTGGGTGGGGGAACCCCACCACATATCTTACACACGATGTCGCCCGCAGGATCTATCTGGATAACACCTACTGCGACCCGCGCTTTTGCCAACCACCTCGTGTGGATGTGACGAAGGCCATTCTTCGAAGGCTCAAGAAGAAGTGGCCCTGCATCGTCTTCATCTCCAGCCACACGGCACACGGCTTGAGATGGCCGTTTCAAGGTCGAGGTGGTGAAAAAACGATGACATTGAAATATGTGGCGGGCCAGACCACAAGGCCCTGGAGGTAGTATGAAACACTATAGTGACGGACAATCACTTAGAACGTATTTTGGAAAAAAAAATCTGAATATTACTGCTTTTTTTACGTTCTAAGCCTTGCACTTAGAACGTCGAAAACCATACACTTAGAACGTCCAAATATCAAGATTCATCACTTAGAACGTACCGGGGATTTAACACTTAGAACGTGTCTAGGTCACTGATGATAGTGGAAAGGCTTGTGAAATCATGCTGCCGCACTCAGCGAAGCCACTCAGGGACCAAATAGACATGTATTGGTGACGCACTTCAAGAAGCTATGTGTATATATATATATACGTGTGCATACATATGCTGACAATTGTTTACAAGTGCATACATGCAGTACATATAGAGTTCCAAGGGCTTTAGCACGTTCTAAGTGTTGGTTTACGTTCTAAGTGATAAATGGGCCTAAGTGATATTTTGACGTTCTAAGTGATGAATTTTCCCTACGTTCTAAGTGATGAAATTTTGCTACGTTCTAAGTACGAAAAAAAAATGGAAAAAAAATTACGTTCTAAGTGATTGTCCGTCACTATAGTTCCATCCGTATATTTAAATGTATATTGACGTAAATTGGATTCCGTATGTTTAAATGGCTGGGCAGGCCAAGGAAAACCTTCCCGGAGATCTAAAAATGTCTAAAATACCAATTCGTATATTTAAAAAACCGTATACTCAGATGTAGTTACCGAACAAAACATGGGGGTTATCTCAAAGAACTGTTTTGGAAAAGTCGGATCGTAAATGGAATGGTATACCGGCTCTGTCGAAAACGGTTAGTTGTTGAGGAGGTTTTGAACCTCACTGGCGCTATCGCCCTATCCCACCAAGTTCCAATGGGTTGGTGAGTTATATCATAGGGCTAATGGTTTTACCCGCCATGATCATTGGATTGGCTTAAAGGAATTTTTGCAGGAAACCTCTATATTTGATGGGAAAAAAACCTGATTCCCTGCAGATGTTCGCTTAAATCATCCGGTAAATGATCATATCAGAAATGGGTAATAAATGGATGCAAATGGCAAAAAACTGACCATCCCTACAACATGTTTCCTGAAGGAGTTTCATGGATTGGTGGCATGACATGGTGACACTGTTATTCTTGCCACAAGACATGAAATGGTGCAATGTTGACATTGATGGTTCACCAACCAGTGGTGATGTCGAATGCCTTTTTTTCAGCAATCTACATCACCTAGTTGCGGCGTCGTTTTTTAAAGCTTTCCTCGCGAAGAAAGACCCCCGTCTGGTGGTGAGATTCCCGTCTTGATCCCGAAGATTGGTTGGATTTGGTGTGCGATGACCACATGGTGTGGTGAAGTTTGATCTATTTTGACCCATGCCCACCGAATGCCATTCACCGAATGCCATTCTCAAGACGTGTATGGACCCGCGCGGTATGGCCATGTCTATCGGGAAAACCGTTTTTTCCTGGTGAGATAGGTTTTTCTTCCCAACATGATCACTTAGAGATGATAAACTTCAGTAATAACAATAGCAACCGGTAATGGTTTTGATAATAATATATGGTAATACCAACAACACTAATACTGATCACAATAAGAAGGGCAATGTTATATAACAATAATAATAACAATAAAAACAATAATATAGATATCGAGATATAGAGATAGACATCCCATCATACCCCATTAGACCCCCATCAAGCACGGCTCGTTTTCGCGTTGAAAATCCAGGTTACAAGCTCGGCAAGGTCACTTGGCAACGGCTAAACGGGCCCTGTTGGTCAAACGGTGAGGATTTCACCAACAAAAATGGAGGAATTCGTTGGGATTACTTGGGATTTAGTTAAGATTCACTTGGGATTTAATGGGATTTATTTGGTTTAGCTGCCGTAGCTATCGATTTAATGGGATCTTATCCCATCCCACTGATTTTGAACATTCCCCAAAAACAACGATAGATACAGGGCTGAAACCACATATTTGGGACCATGGAATTGGGGTGTTTCAGTTCTAGGTGGATGGCACTCCTTACCAAGTTTGAAGCTCCATTTTGACGGGGTTAACACTGTTAACACCTCAAAGTTTTGTGATTGCGCACACAAGTGAATTGTTATTCACCACTCATTTTTGAGATGTGTTTAGTTTTCATAGTCGCGTCATCCCAGAAGTAAATTAAATTAAATTAAGACAGATGTAGATTAAAACAGTTCATATAAATCCATGATAATTACCCCATGATACCCCCAAGATCTTTCTTGATGTTTTCAAGTTCCTTTCATCCGATGTGTTTGGATCTTTCTCCGGTCCCAACGATCGGATTTCGCCGAGGAAGAGCTGTTGCTTCAGCTCTGCCGGCGTCTCCGCACGAAGCTCATCGTCTCAGAGGAGCGCTGCCGCAGCCTGGTGGCCTCCGAAGCCTTCGGCGACGGCGCGGAGATGGAGCGACTGGTGCAGCGCCACAACGCCGAGCCATCGAAGTGGCCGGAGGAGTTGTTGTACCGAGAAAGCTTGACAGGTGGGATGAAAGTGCTGGAAAATTCATGAAAATCCTAGTACATGATAGTAAATGGAGATTCAAAAATCTGGGAAAATCATTTATATGCTGGATTTTCCATTGCCATGGTTGATTTTCCATTGTGGGGGATGAGGGTCAACCCAGGAGTTGTTAAGAGTTTATGAATGGCAATCTTAGTGGTAATCACAAGATGAAGTTCTGGGGGTATTTAGCCCCCGGTCATCAACAGATGAGGGGTTCTAGCTGGGAAAATCATTTATAAACAGTGGCTTCTCCATTGCCATGTTTGACTACTGAAGGATGACGCAGGAAAATTAAGATGTAAATTTAGATGGGGATGGAATGGGATATCATCGGAGAAAACTATATTATAACTATCACCAAGAGAAATGAGGATATCCTTTGGTAATGACCAACAGTTTTCCATGGTAAATCGCCATTGTTAATATGTAAATCATCGAATTAGATGGGCCATGGCTTCCAGTTCGCAAACGGTCAAATGACGGTAGCGGCGATGGCGGCTTATTAGAAAAGATGGCCACCGGGAAAATCATCAGCTCAATGGGATAGATGGGTGTGCAAAATCGGTTACCCTCTCGTAAACTAACAGTTTGCTGTTGAAAATGGTGATTTATAGTGGATTTTCCCATTGAAAATGGTGATTTTCCATAGTGATGTAAATGTTTACCACAAGGTACCCAGAATTTGGTCCCTATTTTCAGACACCCAACACTTTCAGACATCTGGAGATGGTCGGTTGGCCTTGGAACTCGGTTGTGGATTGGGGTTTCAAGGGGGTTGCTTAAGGTGACCATGGGGAAGATGGGGAGATAATGCGGGAGTTGAAAACTGCTTGCTACTTGGGGGTGCGGCTGGAGTGATTTTTACGGGATTTATGGATGTATGGGATTTAAACCTCCAAAGTTGGGATATAAGCCCTACAACTACAGTTGAATAACCATGAATAACCCTCTTTTGTGGAACTGCACCCAAGTAGTTATACAATGTTATACATCAATATAGCAAGGTCTCCGCCACCTCGTCCACCTTTTTGCTTTTTCGGCAGGTTGCATTTGGTTGGTCTCGAGAGCGAATCTCCGAAAGCATCCCGGCCATAACTGAGGCCACGGATGATGTCTGGAAGCTGCTGGACAGACTTTTCTATCTTTTTGGGACCCTTATAGTGGATATGTGTGTGTAAATTGTCTCAAAAGCAATCACCATTTTGGCTGGAGACCAAACCAGCATAAGCTTCACTATGAAAAAAATCACCGTAATCACCAGATGCCTATTTCAAATTGCAAAAAAACGGGCGCGTCGTGCAAATATGTGTTGCTCAAGTCCCACTTTTGATGGTGAGATTCCCATCGTCATGTCACATGTCCATGTTTGCTTAGGTTAAATGCCACGGCTAAATGGTGAAGTGCCCATTCTAGATCATTTGAGACTATGTTGAACACCAAGTTGTAGAAATTAAGTTGTCATAGATAATCTAGATGTTTGATCCTTATGATATACGGATATACATGGATATACATTATACCCTGTAAATCTCAATGTTTGATGATTGAATATCCACAAGCAGGGGATATCGCAATTTTAACTCGTTCGATCCCCAGACAACCCTCATGAATTGTGTAAATAGAAAAGCATCCTTGAAATTTCTAAAGTCCCCATTTTGGTGGGTTAGACAAGGTGGTGCCCCTAGCAAAGCTGGTGAGGTCTTATGGTATATCGAACGAGTCAATCGGGTTGATAGACCAACTTATAGCTGGGCACCACATTGTAGCATATCTCATCCTCTTCCGGAAACAATCCAGAAACATGCATCGAATCTGATCAGTCTGAAATCCTGATTTTTGCCATGAATAAGTTAAGTTGAAGGTCTGTGCATAGGCTTTGGAAGGTTGGGGCTCGAAGCTTCCCTTACTGCCGGTGGCACTGAAAAGTTTAATTATGGTTGGTACATGTCCCATTTTGATCTATGTTGATCTTTTTGGATGATTTTGCGCATCACTTTCAAGTATGTTTCATTGATATTCGTTGGAGATTTCAAAATAAAACAATAAATTCTATAGTTACGCGCAAACCCCCCAGTTCGCCCACACAACTTCTTAGGGATTTTGAAGGAATATAAATTCCGACCCCCATTACTCTTTACATTCAATTGCGAGATCAACAAGGGTATTAGGAATATAAATTCCCACCCCCGTTAAACTTCTACATTCATTGAAGATCTTCAATAAGGGTTTAATTTTCCCACCCCCGTTAAACTTCTACATTCATTGAAGATCTTGAAAACGGGTTTAATTCTCCAAACCCCTTCAAACTCTACATTCATTGAAGATCTTCAATAAGGGTTTAATTCTCCCACCCCCTTCAAACTTCTAAATTCATTGAAGATCTTCAATAAGGGTTTAATTTTCCCACCCCCGTTAAACTTCTACATTCATTGAAGATCTTCAATCAGGGTTTGATGATGATGATGATGATGATGTTGTTCATGATGTTGATGATGAAGTTGCTGTTGTAACATTCAACGCACAGGTAGCTAAGCTGTGCGTTGCAACATGAAAGCCATGATCATGGACATGTGCATTTTGTCCCACTAAACACAGTGGACATGTCGTTGGCGTCGGCGCGGGCAAACTGAAGGGTTTGACCGTATAGTTGCTATAGGGGATTGACCAACAATACTATATAGTTAACTATATAGTTACTATATTTACTATACCTTGGATATGAAAAAAATTAGGACATTGACTACCACCCCCTGGTTTTTACCACGCTTCGCCCAGGGCCATGTTGCGCGCCAGCGACTCGGGCGCCGCGGCGCATGGGGTGCAGGCGACTGGCTGGGCGGAACAGATGCGAAAGGACCTGCGGCCCAGCTGCTTGGACCATGGACCAAAAATGGACCCTTTGAATCATTGAAAGGGCCTTAGTGATTGGATGTGATTGGGGAATTGGATGGAGAGATTTATGGGATTTATAATGGATTTATCATGGATTTATGGTAGAATTCGGAGAATTCGTTAATTATAGTAATTGTTGATTTATATTTAATTGTATGTTAATATGAACTTCATGATTTTTTTGATGGATTTTGGGATGTTACTGTATGGGGATAGAATGGAATATGATCAAGAATAGTGGGATACAAAAATTATTCGATAATCAAACATGGCTAGCTGGGAAATCTCGATCAAAAAGGATGTTTCTAGTTGGGAAAATACCTAATGGGGAATCTTCCATTGCCATGTTTGATTACCAGAGGGTAATACATCATTAATCAAAGGATAATCAGTTAGCCCAGGATGATGCAAACCACCGAGTTATTGAACAATGTTCACTACTTGATTGTTACATCAGGATTATATACCAACCGCTGGTTTTCAAATAAAGGGGGAGACCCAAGTTTCATAGGAATTGGTCACTGTTTGTTGATACCCTCTGGTAAACGTTTACATAACTATGGAAAGATCCACCATGCTATGAAAATGGGTAGTCATCAACTATTTCTATGGCCACTTTCAACATTTTCAATAGCTATGTTTGTTTACCAGAGGGTAAACCTTCGGCTTTTCATCAACAGATTTGATCTGAAAACTAATCGTCCCTCAATGGGGCTGTGATTGAACTGCTGTGAAGCGAGCTTAGCGTGTATTAACAAAGATGCGGAGATGTGTAGCAAATATGTTCCATAGCAAACACGGGAAAACAAGAAAATCCCGCGGATCGATGATTAGTAAACATAAACTAATTTGTTGGGAAAGATGCAGATGTATAAAGTATATCAGCAACAATCGAACAATTAAAACAAGTTGGGATATGACTCAATGGTTCAACAAAAACAGATGGGAACTGGTTCAACAAACACCAGGCGCTGGCACCCATGGAGAGGTATTGCAGGTATGTCTCACAGATGGAAATAATTGTGAAACCATCAATGGATGTCCATTGATTTTTCTGATTTGTTTGTTGGATAGAATGGCCTATAACCAAGAATAGTGGGATAAATATCTACAATAATCCATAATATCAAACGAAATAAATAAAAGAAAAGTATCGCACTATCGCAACTGAGGGTACCCCAATGAATTGCTCATGCAAAAAAACATGCAACTCCCAGGGCTTCACACTTCCCAACTGAGGCTTTGAAGACGATGAGCATTGTTTGGTCAGTGATGATGGCATTTGCAGCTTCTCTTATTCAGATGCTCGACATGGATTGCAGCCATGCCCGGAGAAATGTTCAGTTCTTTTCTTGATCTTCGTACTAGTAGATGAGTAAACGCCACATCGCACCTAGAAATTTTCAAACGTGAAACAGGAAACTTCACACTTCACACTAATATTAACAAAATCTGAACCTTATTCCCCAAGGTTCATTCTTCAGTACTGACCCGGCCATCATTTTGAGATCCTGCCGTGGGGGTACCATCAGAGCCAAGGATCACTCGTCCTACTTGGAACTGGTCCAGTTTCTGCAGTTCCTTCCAGCCGTGCCGGTCACCTTTCTGACCCCTCTGAGACATGTGGAGAGCGAGTTCAGCTATGACGCTCACTTTGTAATTTGTGAAGTGTTTGATGTGCTTGTTTGTGTGTGTGTGTTTGTTCGGCATGTTGGGAAGTTTGTACAGAATCCAGCAATTGCCATTTTGAGGAATTTTCATCAGTTTTTTCGCCAGGTTTTGGATGTTTTCTCCCTCTTCAAGCCAAGCTTGAACCATCCACTTTTCTAGTTACATGATGTTACATGCTAATTAGGGGTTGTGGTTGTGCTTTGGTCTGCAAACTTTGAGGTTCGATGGATTCATATAACACAACCTTGAAAGTTGCCAGATCAAACCCAACCACCAAGGATGGCAACGCGGGTATGTTTCAACTTTTGGAGGACACCGGGGTGCCTTCCATCCGGCACTATGACCAGGGCGGCAAGAGGGATCACTATCGAAAAAATGGCTCGAGGAATAGCCTGGCGCCTAAACGTGGGCATCCGGAGAAGGATGGGTTGGAGGGATCTGGCGCGGAAAATGGAGGTGGATGAAGATATGTGGATGGCTGTGTGCCACTGAATTGATGATTTGATGTGCTTCCAATTGATTTGCCAATATGTGGGTGCGTCTGAAAATGGGGGGTACCTTCCAAAGAGCAATTTTGACACGGACAATGATGTTCCTCTAAATGTTCAAAGAAGCCTGTTTGGGGTATCAAATATCATGGTCATTTGTAACTCGGGACTACCCCATTTTCGGGACACATTTCGTGGGATGGCGGTGTGGCAATGCTCACTCGGCAGCTGCGTTTCGCTGGGGAAAGTCGGGGCACCTGACGCTGCGACTGGGGAAAATGTGTGGCTTGCGCCGAGGATTTGATGGGATTCTTGATGAATTTTGTGGAGGTATGATATCAATTACCCTTTGGTAATTTAACATAACTGACATAACTATTGAAAATGGCAATAGAAATAGTGGATTTACCATATTTACCCATTACAAATGGTGGATCTTTCCAATTCATTCAACGTTTACAAATGGCCGGGTATCATGGTTCCCCTTGGGATTCGGTGTTGGATTTGCTGAGTCGATGAAGAGAACAAACTGAAACATCATTGCCGTCATCAATCATCAATCCACCTATACAGTATCTATACAGTAAAATCCATTTATCCTCGCTATGAGTCAAAAACATATAAAAACATCAAAAGCCATCAAGACTTCCAAGGTGCTGCCATTGCATTGTCCTTGGCTGTCACGGTGCGGGACCTGATTTTTTCTTGGCGCTGAAATTCCCAGCGGACTCTCCCACGGCATGGTGAACTCTCCAAGACTTCACCAGCCCAGGTCATCAGCCCATGGCCGTGGAACTACCTGGGAAGGAGTGCCATGGCCGGATCAGCTGAGTCTGACATGGGCCTTTTTGATGTGGATTTTTCATGTGGGGTATAACATAATGGGATTCAATGGGGTATATGGAAATAGATGGGGTCATACAATTTAATGGGGTCATATCTCAATATAGCATATTCATAATGGAAATACAATGGGATAGAATGATTCTAATAAAAAATATGACCAACAATGGGGGGTTTAATGGGGATGTATTTACTGGGGATGATACAGGGATGTTAGTGTACACAGGTATAGTTTTTGATTTTTGATTGAAATATCCATTTGATTGGTGGCTTCAGGATATGGTTTTCATTTTCAACATCTATGATCCCCAATGATCACCAATAGACATGGTTCTTTTATGGGATCCAAATTCTGGTGATCCAGGTGGTGATGTTTTACTCAACTGAGTAGCGTTTTTCCCCACCTGCCAGGTGAGGGTTGTTAGATTTTATCAGAGCTGTTCTCCTCCTCCTCCTCCTCCGCCTCCTCTGCCTCCTCCGCCTCCTCGCCCGCCGCCTCCTCCTCGCAGTCCAGATCCCAGTGGGCACAGCCGGACCTCCACCGCGAGCTCCAGATCCCAGTGGGCACTGCCGGACCTCAACCGCGAGTTGCAGATCGCAGTGTGCACTGCCGGACCTCAACCGCGACTTCCAGGTCGCAGTGGGCACTGCCGGACCTCAACCGCGACTTCCAGATCGCAGTGGGCACTGCCGGACCTCAACGGGAAGAAAGAAAAGATGTCAGATAGAATGTCAGAAGATATGCCAGATAGAATGCCAGAAAGAATGTCAGAAAGAATGTCAGAAGATATGCCAGATAGAATGTCAGAAGATATGCCAGAAAGAATGTCAGAAGATATGTCAGATAGAATGTCAGAAGATATGCCAGATAGCCAATATGCCAGATAGAATGCCAGAAGATATGCCAGATAGAAAATGTCAGATAGAATGCCAGAAGATATGCCAGATAGAATGCCAGAAGATATGCCAGAAGATATGCCAGATAGAATGCCAGAAGATATGTCAGATAGAATGCCAGAAGATTTGCCAGTAAGAAAATGTATAAATGTCGTGGTGGGGATCACACGAAGTAAAGTAATTTTCTGGAAAATCACCATCTTCAATAGGTTAAATGAACAATAAATGGACCATTTTCAATAGCTATGCTAGTCATTGCCAGATGGTAGAATATGAAAGCAAGAAAAAAAATGCAACCTTCCCTATCATGGGGTGGTGATGGGATACATATCATATTGCTACTGTCTTAGTATTCTTCTGACTTTCGAAGCGCTGTCAGGGACTCCACTATCTCAACTGAGAGCTGTTTCGCGCAAGGGGCCCTAGCGGCCCTAGCGCTTGGTGCACGCCATGGGTTGGTGGTTGGGATAGGCATAGCGAGTCTAACCGAGTTATTTGGATCCCTGCAATGAATAGAAACTAGAGTTTTGAATCATAAATTTAGGGTTGAACATGAACACAGTCATGGAGGTACCTGGGGGTACATAGAAATTCTAAACGCAACTGGGTCTTAAGAGATTGTGGTCGGAATCCAGAGCTCAGATAGGCACATTCTGCGTCATGGTAAGATGCATTTGCTATTCCATGCTTTCCTTCAGGATGGCTCAACATTTTAATGCTATCCTCTGATTTGTTTGTACGGATTAAGGGTATTTATATCTTCCAAAACTTCCATGGTTTGAGATCCCCAAATTTAACTTGCCATGGGTCTATTGCCATCCATGGGTCTATTTTTGAACATAGGGTACCAAAAAAAAATCCAGCCGGTTGAAAAAGTGTTCATATTCAACTGTCATGACATGTCGGGGACAATCCCAGGGGTTAAAACTCAATTTGTCCCAGTTAAACTGGCGCTTCAATATCACTAAATGGAAGAATCCCATGGCTTCTCCAACCTCATTTTTCGAGTTTCAGTAACCTTTCAATAGGATATCACCCCAGCCATCCCCCCAGCCATTCCCATGGAGGCCAGCAGCCCTTCCAGACTTTGACGCGACCGGTCAGCTTGGCGGACCTGGATAAGTAAGTCATCTGGTTGGTGGTTTGGAACATTTGTTATTTTCCCCAGCTGGGATGATGATCCAATCTGACTAATATTTTTTAGAGGGATTGAAACCACCAACTAGTCATGGTTCATGATGTGGTTGGTAATATGGGTAGTACTTTTCAATGCCTATGTTTGATGAGGCGTTCACATACTATATACATTTTTGAGGTGGATAGGGGCGCCGAATGACTGGACTCCTGGCCATCAAGAAGTTTGTTGGTGATGTCAAATCCTCCGGACATGCATGTTGCGAAAGTTTTCCTTCCTGTCCCATGACATAGATGGAGGGAATGAGCACCAGCCCTGCTCCAATTGCAGCATGATTATGTGTCTTTTTAGTATGACATATCCTGATAATGAATAATCATGATCTCAAGCCAGAGATGTTGCCACTTCAGACGGCCATGTAGCATGATTGATCTAAAGTTGAGTTGTCAAAATTGAGACACCCTAGTCTAGTCTAGTCTAGTCTACTCTACTCTACTCTAGTCATCATCATCATCATCATCATGATCATCATCATCATCATGATCATCATCATCAGCAGCAGCATCATCAGCATCATCAGCATCAGCATCATCATCATCATCATTATCATGCATCATCAGCATCATCAGCATCATCAGCACCATCAGCACCATCAGCATCACCAGCATCAGCATCATCATCATCATCATCATCAACATGCATCATCAGCATCATCAGCATCATCAGCACCATCAACATCATCATCATCATCATGCATCATCAGCATCAGCATCACCATCATCATCATCATCATCATCATCATGCATCATCAGCATCATCATGCATCATCAGCACCATCAACATCATCATCATCAGCAGCAGCATCATCAGCATCATGCATCATCAGCATCATCAGCATCATCAGCATCATCATCAGCACCATCATCATCATCATGCATCATCATCATCATCAGCATCACCATGCATCATCAGCATCATCAGCATCATCATCATCATCAGCATCATCAGCATCATCAGCATCATCAGCATCATCAGCATCATCAGCATCACCATCATCATCATGCATCATCAGCACCATCAGCATCATCAGCATCATCAGCATCATCAGCATCATCAGCATCATCAGCATCATCAGCATCATCAGCATCATCATCATCATCATCATCAGCATCATCATCATCATCATCGCATCATCAGCATCATCAGAATCATCAGCATACTTCATCATCATGCATCATCATCATCATCATCATGCATCACCATCATCATCATCATCATCATCATGCATCATCAGCATCATCAGCATCTCATCAGCATCACCTCATCATCAGCATTCATCAAGCTACCCTCATCTCTACACATCATCATCATCATCATGCATCATCAGCATCATCATGCATCATCAGCACCATCAACATCATCATCATCAGCAGCAGCATCATCAGCATCATGCATCATCAGCATCATCAGCATCATCAGCATCATCATCAGCACCATCATCATCATCATGCATCATCATCATCATCAGCATCACCATGCATCATCAGCATCATCAGCATCATCATCATCATCAGCATCATCAGCATCATCAGCATCATCAGCATCATCAGCATCATCAGCATCACCATCATCATCATGCATCATCAGCACCATCAGCATCATCAGCATCATCAGCATCATCAGCATCATCAGCATCATCAGCATCATCAGCATCATCAGCATCATCAGCAGCATCATCATCATCATCAGCATCATCATCATCAGCATCATCAGCATCATCATCATCAGCAGCATCATCAGCATCATCAGCATCATCAGCATCATCAGCATCATCAGCATCATCAGCAGCATCATCAGCATCATCAGCATCATCAGCATCATCAGCAGCAGCATCAGCATCAGTTCGTAAGGACATCAGTCATGTTTTCTATTTTTGTTAATACCCAAGATCTCCCAGTCTTTGGTCATTTATCCCTCTGAAAGTTGGTGCAATCCCGTGGCTCAAAATGGGGTACCACAAAAACATTCCCCCCCCAGAGGAATTGGACAGAATGGAATCATGGGTAATAAGGGAAATCATCCCCAAATGGGCCTTAATTCAGGTTAGTGAAATATTATAATTTACCCAGATGGGATGATTCATCAATTTTTGAAGGACAACAGCAAATGTTCACAGATTATCCCAGTTCCAAGTGACATCAGTCGTGGCCGCTTCCTGCAGCTGCGGTAGGTTTTCGATGGCCTTGAAGATTTAGAGGCTTCCATTCCTGGGCTCGATCTCAGGTGGCTATTCATACTCTGGTTGCAAGTTGATAATCAATGGGTTGGTTTGAGAAAATCAGGAGCCAGAAACCATGGATTTGCCAGTTGTTCGGGAATGGAGTTGTTGTCCAAGAAGGGGGTTACACTCCATGTTATGGCAAATTTAATTGAGAAAATGACGAAAAAAAACGTTAGGTATGTGGGGACTTCATAGGATATAGGGACCTCACTTACCAGAAATGATGGAAAGGTTTGGAAAGTAAGAAGTTTCCGCTTTGGTAATGATAGCAATCTATGCCCAGCTACCGTTCAAAACTGGTGATTTTCGTAATGCCCAGTAATCGGAACCATCCTTGGGAGATGAACATCACCAAGTGAGACAAAGGTGGTTTGCTGAAGATCTGGTTTGTAATCCATTGGTTCTACTTTTTTGGTGAGTCTTTATGAAAAGTGAAAGAAACTGACAGCCGCTGAAAATTGAATCGCCGAATTGACGCAAGATTTGAACTGGACCGGGGGGGAATCCTCAGCTGCAAAAAATGTCTGGCATCTTACAGATGGTTGCAAACCATCCTTCCATTATCTTTCAGTTGTGCTTATTGGATCTTGTTGGTGTGTCCGCCACTGAGATATTCCATTTGACACATATTTGGGGATGCACGCTCCATCTACAGTGCTAACTCTTATGGATTTCCAGGGCCCAAGGGAATATTGAATTTGTCTCAAGATAGCTGACTTCAACACTACGCATCGAATGTGTTGCATTGTTGTGCCACAATGGATACCAGACCCATAAAGACTATCTTTGATAGAATATTATAATATTACATATAGGACATAAGGTGTCAATATGTGTGTGTGTGTGAGTATAATTGTGTACATATAATATACACATAAATATGTTTTAGATTGTTTTAGTGTATTGTAATGTATTGTATATAGAATTACATACATATGATACGGTATGGATCATGTGAAGATTTGGCTTTAGCTGTGGTTTTTGACACCACAACCCCTCAGCCCCTTGCCCAGGAAGAGGAGGAAGAAGAGCTGGAAGATCGGAGTACAGTGCCAAAGGTGCCGGGCCAGAAGTGGTGGTGACTGACGAAAAGATAGAGATAACAATGATAAGAATCTTCAAGCCGGAAACCGCCATATTTGGGGTTAAAGCCATGTTTCCGGTTAAGATGTGTTCTCTTAAACCAATCCAATGAGATAAAATATCATTATGTCATGACGGCAGTCTCAGAATTGGAGGGAAAATCTGCAGGAACGAAAAATCTGCAGGGAAAAACCAGGAAACTGTCCTACTGTTTGTTCCCTGAAACCAATTTTTGTGAGGCAGATCACCAACAACAAACACTGAGTAGAGATTAGTGATCACTAACAACATCTAACAACAAACACTAAGTAGAGATTAGTTTTCAGTATCTGTTGAACAGGAACAGCAATGGAAAAGACGATAGGACCAAGGGGCTGGTCTCGCCGCCAGGAGCGCTCGATGGTGTCTCGTCCCATTGGGACCGGCCTTCAGATCTTGGAGGACTTGTACAGCAAACACAGGCCGCGAACGTTGGGGGATCAGCGGAAGAAAACCCCGAAACCAGCGCTAGCCCCGAAAGCCCGGAACCTCCAAGGGAACCTGGGATTCGATTTTTAAAGCCCTGTTTGTTTATGGGCTAGAAGCATTATTGGATGGCTTACCCGGGATATTGGGGAGTAGCCTTTTAGCACGTCCTGTGCTCGCTTGGTGAAATATGAATTATATGAATTGACTTGACAGTTCTTGAGCTTTTCAATTATCAAGATCCCACGACCTACTGCACCTGTTGTCGCAGGGGATCAAAGGATCCTCCTGAGATTGATGACAAGGACCCGCATGGGAGTGGCATGTCTTTGTTTTTTCTTGTGTTTATGGTTGGGATGTTTATTCCATCTCTAGGAATAGTTAAAATGAATAGAACATAGAGATTTAAATCCTAGGTTTGGGGTTGAACATGCACCCAGTTTCGGGTGGTTTGAGGTGTGTGAATAGATGAGGAGGCAGAGGACGAAGATTGTGCTGATGGCCATGATGACTATAGTGAAGTTGATTGCCATCTTTATCATCATGACAACCCCCAGGAAACCATGCTGTAATAGGGGGTTTACACATATTTGTGACCATGGAATAGGGCTGTTTGATATATATGAATGAAGGATGGGATTATTGGATTTATCCATTCTTATCCATCACTATCATCAATATTCCATTATACTTGATTACATGTTCTATATATATATATATATTGATGTATAAATTATAAATATATAGTCTTGATTTACTATCTACCCCGTTAATATATCCATCATGTCGTAATCCCCTCCTTCAATGGTTAGTTTTTGTTTTTTCGAGCTGCGAGCTCGAGGAGTTGGAAGATCTCCATGCAGGAGAACTCAGACAGGTGGATTTTATGGGATTTTATGGGGATTTTATGGGGAATTTTAGGGGGATTCTATGGGATTTTATGGGATTTTCTGGTATTTACCATCTAGAATTGGATAGCTGAGTTGACTTACCCTGAGGTAAACATAGAAAAAGATGTGGAAAATTCATGAAACCGAAAATCATGTCCAACTGGATGGTTTTCCACATCTATGTGAACGGTTACAGGAGGATATATAGCGACCCCATTCAACCTCACCATAAATGCCACAGATGGAAATGGATTGGGGAAATCATCCCCAAATGGCCGAACTAATTTGGTTTAGGAAATGATACAATTTTCCCAAATGCTGCCAGATGCAGTGAGCCTATGTAATGTTAAGGAAAAAGATGGAAAAGGTAGGCAGATGTGCAACGATTTGTTGAGACTTCAATGCTCCAAACTAATTGCGTCATGAAAAGGTCCCCAGCTCATAGTTGTAAGGGAGGTCGAAAGTTCATGTGGGTTTGTCCTAAAAATAATTCGTGGAATTGCACCACAATTTGGGAATGTTAGTAATGTTCATCCGACATGATATGTTCAGGCTACAGCCCAATGTTGCAGCCATGGTCGGCAACAACATCGATATAAACAACCCCAATATATCCCTCCAAATGCTTGAGTACAATGAGCCAAAGCGGATATTTTACCATATGCATCCCCCTATTGTGAATAACTTTTGTAACATACAGAGTTAGGGTCACAACGTCTCCCCTGAAATTCGATGGGGGATCCATATTCTACCATGTTTGGGATAGTGCTCAACCATCAAGTTTGGTTTGAATGGGATGATTCCCTGAAACCGATGGAGCCGTGCTGCGACGGCCTAGGCCATGTTGAAAGAAGAGCTGCCCAGGTGGAGCGTGGTTCTGTCTGGAAGTTGCTTAAAGTGTGTATATACACATTAATATGTCCACATATCCATATGAATATAATCATATGTACATATAAGACATTGATATACATTAATGACTCTTATGTGTTTATTCGTTGGATATGACATACATATTTATGTGTATAGTTGGACATAAACAGATGATTTTAAATATATATACAATGATGGGATACATAGAATATAGAATCGATAATTTCGGCCTCAAAAAGCATCTTCTGGAATCGGTAGATAAAAAACATATACATAGAATAAAAGCATCTTCCGAAATCGAAAAAACAAAACTATACATATAATATGAAGACTATCCATTTTTGATCCGGGAAAAAGACATGCTCCCAGGTTTTTGACAGAAGCATGGATGGATTGCGGCAGACGCCTGTGATTAATAGAACCGAAGACATGTCCAATCTGCTGATTTTCACACATGTTTTCGATATGGAAACATCGTTATTCCTATGGTATTTGCTTTGGCTCTGCTTGTGCACTCCAAAATTCTACGCCAAATATTTCTACCCCAAATATTCTAAGCTTTTGTTTTCTGTCCACACCCGAAGAGTTGAAAAAGTGCATATTCTATGTAGGCGCTCATGATTATATACATATGTATATACTGGTCCATTGAGCTCATGCACAAGAACACCTTCAAAGCAGGTGTCCATCCATTTCTTCAATGGCCTTTGCTGCCAAAGTGCTGGAAGACCTGGAACTCGAGGAGTTTGGCAGTGAGAAAATCAGGGGAATTGTGAGGAAAGTTGATTGATGAAGCCACAGAATGTACTAATAGGGGTAGGACATGGTAGGACTGAGGCAATTTCTCGCAGTTGTTTGGGGTTACTTACTAATAGTAGTAGGGGGGTACCAATCTTAAGAGTAATTGATGAGTGGTTTTTCGGGGTACGGTACTGACCCTGATTAATTGCCAGAGTTTATAAATCGAGGGTTGACGTTAGGATGCAGATGCAGATGGGCGAAATCAATGTCAGACAATCAGAGACTAGCCGTGTTTACTTACCATGGGGGAAGCCTCAAGAGCATGTCCGTCTAGCATGGAATATGACATTGTGATTTGTAAAGTGTGAGACATTCTCGAAGGAGAACCATTTCCTTACTGGTGCGTAAAACACGCAGGGAATTTTCGGGAATGATCCACTGGCGAACTATCAATATCTATCAATATCTATCAGAATCTATCAAGCAGATCAATCATCCCAGCAACCCCCAGCAACCCATCCATTCCCTACGGCAGAAGGCACCACGAGTTTTAGGGAGTCCAGGGACTCCTTGATCGACGGGAAAATCTTCCGGAAAAGCCCGATGGGCCATGGGCTTTGCAGACTGTCACGGTTTTTAGCCAGTTACTAAGCAGAAATGCCATGGATCATCATGTTCCAATGGATTATCATCATCCATTGATGTTTTCTTCCTAAACTGGCATAAGGTGGGGGTATCCCCCACTTTCAGACACACCAATTAGCCATAATTCTTTATCCCACAGATCTCCCCATCGAGTCCCATCGAGAGCCATGATAGGATTACATTCACAGAGACCAACACCATGTCATATTGATGGAGCCGCATATCCCGCTATATCCCCATAACATTTCATACCATTTCCATTACAACAGTTCCTTAACTACAATTTGCCGGTCGAGTACCAGCAAAGTTTCCAATACTGCGCAGCAGCCGCGGCTTGTGCCACGGCCAGGATGATGATGTTTTCGAAGTGATTGCCACCGAAGTGAAAGCCCGTGCGGATGAATTGGAGCCCCAGGAAAGAAAACTGACCCGAGTGGGGATTTAAGCATCGAAAGATGAAAACCGGAACCCATTGACACAGCATTTTTTCTATAGGTTCTCATTGCCATGTTTGGTTGCCAAGAGTGTAAGGATGTGGCATTATGTGATTTCGATGACCCGGCCTGCAGTGTTTCTCTCAAGTTTTCTGGAATGTTCCAAGAAGGATGTTGTCAGAAGACCGGGCTATTTATATCATGTACACAATACATCAGAATACACCTGGCCTACATGATATAACATATCATATATGTGATATGATGTATATATTATGCATTTATAATATAGTATAATCTAATATAATACAATATAATTTAATTTAATATAACATAATATAATATGTCATAATATAATATAGTATATAATAAATAATATATCATATATAATATATAATATATCATATATCTGGATGGGTAGTCGTAGGACTCCAGATAATCACGGGGGGTGGTGGGGGGAGGGTGATATTAAGAACATATATATATAAGTACTCGTAGGCATAATATAATATATAATATCATATAATTTAATATATAATATAATATAATATAACATAATATAATATAATATATAATATATAATATAAATAATATAATATAATTTAATATAATATAATATAATTTAATATGATATAATATAATATATAGTATATATTATAATATATAATAATATATAATATAATGTAATATATAATATAATATAATATCATATCTTCTACCTAGACTATAGTAATAATAGTCATCTATATAATTCTTTAATTTACGCATAATATAATCATATTCGTATCGTATTACACTATCAATACATTATCATCATAATACACCTAATATAATCTATTTTTAATTAATCTAATCTAAATACTATATTTTAATCTCTTATATATACATATAATAGCACTTATTTAAATATATATAATACTATCACATACGATATTAGATTAATATAATATATAATATAATATAATATAGTATAATATAATATATTATAATATAATTTAATATACTATAATAAAATATATATACAGAATTATACAGATATGTTTCTGTCGTGTGTTTGATGCACCAGGAACTCCACCTCCGCTCCGCAGGAAACTTTGGACATCGTCCTAAGGCACTGGAGACGACTTGGATGGCAGGTTCCTGGTTTGATGTGGTTCAACTATCAATCTCGAAAATGAGGATTGAAAATACAGATACCCTCCGGTAAACTAACATAACTATGGAAAATCACCATTTTTGATGGGTAATTCAACTATAAATGACCATTTTCAATAGCTATGTTAGTTTACCAGAGGGTAAATATGCTAAAAGAAAGGGCTAGGAATATCATAGCTAGAAGTCATGTTTTGATGGCGAATGGCTGAGATTTGCTGTGGACATTGCTGCAAGTGTACCAGCTGGATTTGAGAATCCCAGGTAAAAATGTCATTTCCATGCAGTTCCCAAGGTTCAGCTGGATGCTTATCCAACATTATCCAACTATCCTCCTGAAAACCAACAAAGGACCCAAAGTCATGTCGCTCTACACGACTCTTTTCCTCCCATGTTTATCTAGTTTTCCAGTTTCGAAATCAACTTCCCTATTGCGTTTCCCGGCGACAGATATTCCCATGACTTCCTAAATCTACAGATCTGGCTGGAAGAAGCCCTTTCCAAAATCAGCCGCGCCACAGTTTTGGTGCCATCTACTTCAATGATGATGAGTCGGGTCCTTGGGCGGGTTTCTTCTCCAACTTCAGCTTGAGAGCTGAAGATGACATGAACATCCCACTGGTTTGGGAGGAAAACCCTCGAAATCAAGAAGTAGCCAACTGTCAGCAAAGTTTGTCATGTTGCGGGGTTAATTCTATCTCCATTATCTCCCACTGTTTTTTTCCTGCATTTTCAGTTGTGATTCTTTCAACATTGTTTATACATGTTCACATGCATGTTTATCGATGGTGTGAAGGGTGTATCATAGTGTAGCCTCCATTAAAACAAAAGAGTTGATATATATATTTTTTAATGTTGAATATGATGGAATATCCAAAATGTCTGGATCACTTTCTAGGGAAACTATTCAACAACTATTCAGCTATGTTTTTTTTCCACATCTATGCCACGTTCACGTTGTGCTTCCCTGCCCAGGTTGCTTGCAGCGTTGGTGGGAGCCATCCGTCGTCAGCTGCAATTCTTCACCAATGCCGAGGTGGATGCTGTGGGCAAAAACGACGGGAAAACGATCGCCATTGATGGGATTTGGGCAATTTTATTGGATTTTCTGGGATTTTAAGGGGATTCTATGGGATTTATTTATTGGATGTTATGGGATTACCATGAAGAATTGGATAGCTAAGTTGACTTACCCTGGGGTAAACGTAGAAAAAGATGTGGAAAAGCTTTGCGGAAACGGAAAATGATCTCCAAATGGTGGGTTTTCCACATCTATGTGAACGTTTACAGGAGGGTAGAACTTGGTAAATTGTTAGGTGATGTTGGGTGATGTTGGGGATATACCTACTTAAAGATGCTTACGAAGCGACTGAAAAAACTAGGGCTTTTCCAGCCATGAGCCATGTGGGTCAATGGGTGTCCAAAAAAGTCTATGGTATAGCGGTTGTTGAAGTTTGAAAAAATGGATATAGACTATAGTCAGACTATATAGACTATTAATGGATATAGAATGATATAGACATATATAGACTATGATAGACTATGTATATAGACCCAAGTCCTATAATTCATGATTTATTTAGGTCACAACTTAGAGTCGCTGTCGTTTTTTCGAAGCATCAAGAATGATTCGGGACCCACATGTTGACCCATTGAGGATATAGAAATATCCTATGAATTACTGCAATGGTGAATGATTTGTCACATAGGAGTGTACGATGTCCTGTAGAAAATTAGTTGTTTTTGTTGGGAGTTGAAAATGTTTGTGGCTTGTGTCAGAATTCTATGGATTTGTGGAGTGTAGGTGAAGTGAGTTGTTGTTCGACATGTTTTCTCTCCTATGCATCCTTTATGGCCAGGTCTTCCGTGCAAATCCTCGTGATATTTTGCCAGCAATCCTGCAATAACTGTGACACGAAGGCCAATGTTTAATATGTTCTTGGTTACTGTAATGGGGTTCTCCTACGTTCAAGTCATTATCTGGGTAATGGGTGTCCTAGCAAATGCTACTGGGAGAACCCACTAGGTCAAGTAGCCATCTTCCCTTACGGATTTCCCAGGTATTGGTTGGTTACTGTCAACTTCGATGGTTGATCATTTTCCCGATCAAACTGGAAATAATTTGTAAGTTACCATAGCAATGCGTGTCCACAACGTTCCCCACCATGTTACCTTTCAAAGTTGCCAGTTTAGGTAATGTTTCCCTGAGGTTGGGAGATGATTCTCCCAAGAAAATCCCCATGAAACGCAGATCGTGCGCTTGGCAAATGCCATGTCACGCCTTGGTGGTTTGGACGACTCCAAACACGTAGGACGGATAGGGAGCATGATGGAATTCAGGGCGGTTTTACAGATTTTACAGGGATTTCATCAGGATTACCCCCAAATATCCAAAATATATCAAAATATAACGTTGTTGTAGCCTATAATGATTGATTGATGGTTGCTTGATGGTTGCTTGATGGTTATTCCCAATATTGTTATATCCCAAAATATATACATCATAATGTTTTGGTTGATTCGATGGGGTGAGGATTCCTTCGGGATGCAACTGGGATTTTTCAGAGGATACCGCGTAAAATCATCAAGAAAATGATCATAAAGAACTGGAATTTTGGGTACTCTACATTTTTTCTTTTTTATAAATCCACATGGAGAACAATGAGGGAGATTCGGCAACAGTATGTCTTTTGTTTGCTGTTTTCTTTGAGTCATTTACTCTGTTGAGGGTTACATAACAGCTCCTGAGTTTGCAACAAGAATTGCAATGATGAGAGACACATGTTAATTGCAGACGAATTGGACATGTGATGCTTTGATGATTTTCCTTAGGACTTCCTGGGTCATGTGCAATTTGTGCCTGTTTTCTGGCGCCGCAGGAATGTTCTTTGAAATGCGATCGCGGGTGAATATGCCCTTGATCGACAAAGCTATTAGGCGGGGCACATTTAGCTCGTCTATGTGGCTATCAGCTGGATGTAGCTGCTTGGTATTTTAGGTTCCACCAATTCCATTTTCTGGAGAGGGATCATGATCCCATTGCCCTTTCATATCCTTGGGGCGCGGGTGGCATAACCCCCAGTTTCCACATGTTTCAACTGTTGCAGATCACACACAGACACACACACACACATACATACACTCCGCCCGTGACAATTGATGTGGCGAAATGAATTATTCACCGCCAGGAGTTTGGCCCTGCAAACGTAAGGAATACACAGTGACAAAAAAAACTTTAGAAAGTATCACTTCAGACAGAAGATGCATGAAAGACCATTTTGTTTCTCTCCCACTGCATTGGACCAATGCGAGGGTGCTTTGTAGAAATCATAGCCTACGTCTAGGCACACCACTCTGAGATTCTCCGCCCACTTCAATCACACCAGATCCACAACATCAAAGCACTGGTTTCCAGCAACTGTGGAATGATAGGAATCTAGCAGTAGCTGAGATTTCATGCAACTTCAATGGTGAAATCATCATCATCGGATCGCCATGGCTCTTCGGCCTGACTAGTGGAGTTCATGCAGGTGCCAGGGGCGACGCATTAGTCGCTGGACATGGATTTTTCTACACCATGGCACTTCATAACGCGATTCAACAGTGATTTCATGGGTATTTCATGGTGATGTTGCGGGAAACAGTGGGATTTTTAGGCTGGATGTATGTTGGGGAATACTTGAAGTATCCCTGTATCCCTCTTGAAATTCACCACAAGGGGTCAGGCCCCCACTTATGGTAGCTATCAACCTAGGGGATTTGCAAAAAGCCACTATAATAATACTACTAGTACTTAGTAGTTTACTAAGATTGTACTTGGCAAAATTCTGTCACTTTCTATCCATATGAGGGTTTGTATGTGTATATATATATATCATATATATATCATATATGTATATATATCATATATATATATCATATATATACACTGTATGTTTATTTGATGTGCCCCAACCATCCCACGAAGTTGATTCGAGCCCTTGACGGATTTTGTTCGCCTTCCCCATCAAGGTGGGCTGTGAAAGTCGTGAAGCGTTGTTGAGGCGCTCGGTTGAAGCCTACTGGGTAGAGAGCTACAAAATGGGGAAACAAAGGGACTGTGGGACTGTAGTGTTTTTGGGACCGGTCACAATTCGGCATTCGGGAAATATCATGACCGCGGCCATCCAATCACCACCGGTGGCTGGCGCCGGTGAAATTTGATCCCCAGGCTGCTTGAACCCGGTGGTGCTGCCAATGAATCCCTACGCGTTCAGATCTCGGAACAGCGGCGGTGGCAGTTGGGGACCTGCAATGTTGGTGAAACCTCTTGAATCCCAGTAAATCCCATCATTTTTTTCCATAGGCTGATTCCAGTGGAATGAGTGTTGCACTCTGAAAAAACCGAGTAAAAAATCGAGTATAGTTGATTGAGTATAGTTGAGTAGTTGATCCAAATCCTATAGTCATCAAATGAGTATAGTTGATTGAGTATACTTGGATTTGGATGACTATACTCAATCAACTAGCGACAATTTCTTCGAAAATATCGCTGGGGCTCCCTTCTTCCTCGGTGTTCCGAGGCGGATATGATCATGCATCATGCGGCCCACGGGCCCAAGATCCAGGACAGGCGGTGGAAGATTCAGCACCAAATTGTGGCCTCCTCAAAGTAAGGGGCCCTTCGAAAAACTTATATTCAAGATTCCAATCAGGTTATTCATATGTTGCTACTGTATGTTATATATACATATATACACATATGTATATATATATGCGTCCATATTGATCGTAAATCAGTTTGCCAGGCCAAGCATTTGTTGATCCCCAAACTGATGGTCCTGAAAAAAGGTTGAGAACCAGCTTGTGGGCCTCCCCTGTGACCAGTATAGCTGGTTGGTGCTCACAGATCCATTGGTGCTGACACATACCGAATATTCCTATCGTTGAACGAATACAACTTATGTGGCTCATGTAACTAATATAGTTGATATCACTATATGTTGTTACTAATACCCACTAATATTTAGCAAATACAATGTATATGTATATGTTAGCAGTAACATACAATAACTACACTTATAGTTTATATAGCAAATTGAATATTTTTTTCGTACATTAATCACTAATCTTTTACAATGTATACATATCATACCTGGTTGGTGGTTTCGAACATGTTTTATTTTTCCATATATTGGGAATGTCATCATCCCAACTGACGAACTCCATCATTTTTCAGAAGGGGTAGGTAAGTATACCACCAACCAGATATTTAATGGACCAAGATTGATTTCTATGGCATTTCTATGGAATTTCTATGGGATTTCTAAGGGATTTTACATATGGCCAACAGGAATCAGCGTTCCATCCGAAAGGATAGCGATTTGCTTGGCCTGGATGAAGAAGCTGCGCAGCGCTTGAGGGCCCTCCAGGTCTTGCAGAGTCGCTCGACCGCTTTGAAGATCCAGATGGAACTGGGAAAACCTTGGGAAAACTGAAAATCAGATGGGAAATCAGTTGGGGAGTGTTAGGCATGTAAAGAATGAAAGATGGGAAATGATTGAAAAAATAATTTTAAAGCTGAATTGTTAAAAACCTGTCAGTTTTCTCTTGGAAAAGGTTTGAAGACTATCAAAACCGGAACATGAAAAGATTTCAGAACATATCAACAAAATCTGAGAAAATCAAATATTGAAACTAAACTGAAGGGTTTGTGGTTGGGTCACCATCAGCTACCATTTGACACTGCCAAGTCCCCCGATGCGCAACACGCGTTTCGAGGTGCGTTGGGCCAAGGAAGAGGTCGGCGGCTCAGCGACGATCGAACGACGGGATGCCTGAGGAGAGGCTGTGGATGGCTAATGGTTTTTAATCTTCTCTGGGTCTTTAACCATCTCTTTGGGAGGAGGATGATGATGATGATGCTGATGATGATCCCAAGTGAGCATACTATGTTTGTGATGGGTTCTAACCAGCAACCAGATGTATACCTCAGGGGATGGAAATTGTGGCCCAGTGCTGGGAGATATAATGAGCTAATCTGGTTGAGGGTGCGGAAAAACAGCTGGGATTTGAGATGGTTTCCTGGTGGTTGAGACATCTTTGGTGTACAGTGTACACAAGGCCACCCAACCTGATCCTAAAGGGGCAGGTTGGCATCCTAAGTCAGGAAGAGTCAATTCATTGACCCTGAGAAGAAACTGGGATCACTAGAATAAAGCCTCTTCAAATTACTCAACTGTCTAGCGAAATCTCACCGTCTCCTGAGTCTCCTGACGGTAGTCAGATGATGGGCTAACTGAATGACATACCATCCGGCTGGTAATTGAACATAGCTGTGGAAAATGGACCATTTATAGCGTGGTGATTCTCAATAGTCATGTCAAGTTTCTAGAGAGTAGCTAAGTGTCATTGATATACGTGACTTGGTATCAAACTTCTGCAAGAAGAACTTTGGTGCTCAAGATGAATGAGTTTGACGTGCCATGCAGCTTAATGAGTCCATTTATGACCGGTACTCAATGACAACTCATGTGGTTGGCTGTTAGGATTTGCAAAAGTTTAGACTTGACTGGCAACAACAATCACATCATATGGACATTCACGAATGCAGACAAATCCATACAATTCCATCGTCCTTTTGTAGCCAAAACATTGCCAAAGGTGCAAGTATTTGCCAGTTGCGAATGTTTGGCAGCCTGTAAGTAGTAGTGTCCATGTTTGTTTTGCGATGCTTGGCCTTCTTGGGTCTTCTTTGTGGCTTGGACCAAGCTCTGCTACTATGCTTGGCAAGCCTCACACCGTTTCTCGGTCATGTTGTGATTCATTTTGCTCTTATAAGAATACGGGAATGTGGAATGTGGAACCTGCCAAAAATGGAGAAGATCTTTATAGTAATCCCCGAAAGGATGGAAAATGGAAACGTGATCTACCACCCCTTTTAACGTGAAATTTATTTTTCTGTTTTGTTAGCAATTTACTCCGGAAAACAGCCGATTAAGATATAACTTTTATTGTCAAACTACCAGAGGGTAGCATAGCCATGGGCTTCGATGCAACTTTGGGGGATCTGGGGCCGTTGTTCATTATGCGAGGCATGGATGGTCCAAAAACATGTCCGCTTTATTATTATTACCCTCTGGTAATTTAACATAAGCTATTGAAAATGGCCAATTTATAGTTGATTTACCTACGGTAACAACATTTAAATATGTGGAGGGCGGGCCAGACCGCGAGGCCCCGGAGGTAGTATGAAATACCAGTTCGTATGTTTAAATGTAGTTACCGTATGTTTAAATGAATTGTATTCCGTATGTTTAAATGGCTGGGCGGGCCAAGGAAAACCTTCCCGGAGGTAGTCTAAAATACCAGTTCGTATATTTTAAAGTCCGTATATTTAAATGTAGTTACCGTATTAAAGATGGTGCTTTTCCATAGCTATGTTAGTTTACCAGGGGGTATTGTTCATTGCATCCCAACGGTTGAGTTCTCGTAGCAATCCAATACCCCACTATATCCTCAGGATTCTTTTGGGTAGAATTCGGGTTTGTCCATGGTGTACCCCTTATATCCCCACATTTCCTTTTTAACATGTCCAAAAATATGGGAATGCGGAATGAAGTACACCATTCTCAGACACCAACATGGAGGTTCCCTGAAATGGTGGTACCCCCAAATCATCTATTTTGAATGGTTTTTCCCATTATAAACCAACGATTTTGGGATCCCCCATTGATGGAAAGCCCCCAACATGGGGATGGATTTGGCCAAGTTCTTACATGCCTTGCTGCTTCAGCAGGTCTGAGAAGTTGGATGGTCTACCAACAGGTTGGATGGGGCCAGGTTGAAGTTTCACCACCTTCCTGGGCCCAGGGGTTGTCTCAAAATGAGGTACCTCGTAATTTGAGGGTTTATCATAGGTTTATTTTCCATAAAACTTCCATTTCATGGTTTTTCTGTAGCAGTTAATTCCCGATTTTTTGGATATATCCCTGGAACTCCAGTTCCAACCAGAAATGTCCATGGTGATTTCAGGTCTGAACTGAGGTTCCAGCTCCAACAATTGTCAGGTTTATGGTAGATTTGTCAAACTTGTTAATAGGGGGTAACAATAAGCAAGTAACCATAAGCAGAGGCAACGTTAACTGATTAGTAACTCCACAGGGTATAGTTCATGGACTATAAACCCACTTACTAACCAGTTAACTAACCAGTTATATAACTAACCAGTTAACTAACTACAGGTTCCATCCCATGATGCATCCCATGGTCAACTTACTTGCGTTCGCTAAAACCATGACTTGGGATGGTCATCAACCATTATCAACCCGTCAGGGGCAGGGGCCCTCCTTGGTTACTGATGGCCCAAGGATAAACAGCAGGTTGTATTTCCTTATTAGCCAACTTAGGCAAAAAAGAATAGCATATACTATATGGGTTTGTCTGAAAATTTGGTTTGCAGAAATATTCTGAAATACTGCTCTGGTATATACTTGCTATAATTCCATCCCAACCATATTTCTAGACTACATCTACCAAGAACTACTTTGGTAATACCCAGCAAAATTCTGTTAGAATGCCATAATATAAATTGGACCGACCTCACCGTTCTCCCTCACTGGGATGGTTAGGATTGAGTAACTATCCCGAAATAGCCCAACACTTCAGGTCAGATATATATATTACAGTATACGCAAAATTATCTTTTGTAATTCTGTCAGAGTGACGGTGTCTTATCCAATAGAGTTCCATTCATACCCAATTACTATGTAATATTTACAATTAAGTCATATCCCAATATATTCCCATAGTAACCGTATCACATCTGTAAATTATATATGTATATATTACATATTATTATTTATATAAGATAGATATATATATATAATACAATATTATATTTTGTACATAAACCACCAAGGCATTTCACCTGGACCCCAGGTCTCTCAGCTCGCGGCCTACGTTTCGTGGTGCACCGCGGCACCGAGGGCTTCGGTGATCGGCTGCAGCAGCTGTTGATGGCGGTGCGCTACGCGCGCGCCACGGGGAGGGCCCTGGTGATCGATTGGAGGGACGCCAAGTTCCAGCGCGACGCTCGGGATGGATCCATTGTGGGGTTAAGTGGATCATGGGGGTACCCAATAGTTGGATGGTTTTCATGGAAAATTCTATCAAAAAAAAAACGAGGGGTGGATAGCTGGATGGTTTATTTCATGGGAAATCCTACAAAAACCAGATGATTTGGGGTACTGTTACTGTTTGGGGAAATCCTCATCTGGATTCACTGTGAAGCACCATATATGTCTCCCCATGCAACCACTATAGACTATGATATGTCTCAATATTATGGGGAATCTGATGTATATATATATATAAGGATATGTATATATATACACATCTAGATGAATTTAATGTGTGTTCATTGGTATTGAGAATGGGTAGTTAAGTACTTCATGAAGATGTGTTTTTTAATTTCATGGACATTGTAAAGGGGTACTTAGTACTGATGGATATGTTTACTGGGAATACATTGAGTTTTTTGCATGGATCATATGGACGTGAAGGTGGATGGCATCCCCTTGGGCTGGACTGGGATGGCACAAGTTCAGCTTGAAAAGTTGGTTGTAGAAGATCCAAACAGTTTGTGATGGGTTTCAGTACTGTTTGGAGGGAGGTGAAATGGATGTGGAGTGGGTGTGTGATAGGTTTTTTCATGTTGTCTTCGGAGTATGATACCTGGGTCCCCTGATACAAATGGGCTGGTTGGATAAGATGGGTTTAGGCTGGTGACATATATTGAAAACAACTGGACACTCAGGTAAAATTGTTGAATGGATGGGTTTATCAGATGTTGTCTGTGGGTGATATGTGTTTATATTTGTTGTTGTTGTTCAGGATTATGAGTTTTCTTGGGGGGCATGATACGAATCCATTTGCCGGGTCAACCTTGGTGAATGCGATATGGATCCCATTGGATTTAATTGGCTGCGTATGATGAATCCATTTTCATATATAGGGATTGATGATCCCATGATGGTTGGAATCCCATGGCATGGAACGACCAGGGGCCCCATTAATCCCATATAACTTGACGCACAGAATTGCTCGGAAGATGGGTCAGCTGTCCTCGGAGGTACCAGCGTCAAAAATGTGGGGAAATGTGATGAGCACCAAACAGATTAGTAGGAGTAGTTGTATGTTCTTGTTCGCGGGGTATCGACAAACACTTAAACCCCAGCAACCAACAGAGATTTCTCCGGACGATTCTGGTGGCGATTGGTTTATGTCTATGTAGCAGAAATTTGGAGAAGGTGTAGCAATTTGCCAGCTCCATGGTCATTTCTACATTGTCAGAGAACACTAGTCTTTCGAGCCCAGGATGCACTCTTTGATTTTGGCGATTTTTTGAACATCAGGCGCAAGCAGCTTGCGACAGCTTAGTGGCTCAGCGGGTTGCCGGTAACTTTGAGGAACATCTGCCATTTAATTCGATGATGTTCCCATTTACATGCCGGGTTTAGTTGGGGTTTCCCTGCCATGTTGATTAAGGAGGGTGCCGCTCGGGTATCCCTTATCACCTGAAGTTCTGGCGAAGGTAAGCACATGCCAGGGTTGGTGATATAAGTTCAGACTCATCGCGTGTCATCTTTCAAAACGGCGTTGTGTTTCACTCTTGGTTCCAAAATGTCAAACGCAATTGCATTTTAAACAATGTATCATTCTGATAATGATAGCCATAACCATGGTAGCAATGATGATAATGGTTCATGGCAATAGTCCAAAAACACTGCCTTCCCATTGTC